CACAGTGTCAGGTGTGCCACTGACATCGGGCCACTTCCTGGGTGGGGCCCATGATGCTAGGAGGCTTGCCACTGGGTGCTACCTCCCAGTGGCAGGCCACCCATCAAGGCTTCCCGTAGGAGACCCCGGGGACGCCTCCATATCCATACTGTAAGAATCCTGCCAACTACGCTAGTTGTGTTGCAGTTGGTCAAGGCCTAGCAGGTCCACTCTGGACTTGGGGAGACGGAAGAAAATGTGTGGAGCATGGGGATGCTTGACGTGCCTTTATTCACGGGTGGACGAGCCATGCACGCTGCAAGCTGCAAGCTGTGTGCCTGTGCACCCAGTGAGAAGCCCCTACCTCTTTAAGTACTGGCGACAAAGCTGACAAAAGGCCAAAATACTACCTAACATAGTGTGATTCTGCAAATGCGAGGCCACTTCATGTTATGGAAACCATTCTTGGACCCAGTCCCAAGCCTGTGAGAACACTATTTTATCAGGCTCCTTCAAGGTTGTGAGAAACTGCTTCCCTTGATTACCCAGACACCTGAGTGAGGAAGCCACACTGCCTCCACTTGCCCTGCCGTGTGCCATCCACAAATGAATAAACACAGGATGCTGGCAGTGAGTTACCTGTACATGCATGTTAGACTGTGTCCTCGCTGTTCTGCCTTAGGATACTATACGTTATATTCAATTGTAAAATTATAAGAATTCAGTAATTTCTTTTTGTCACCTAGATCGTGAGATTTCTTCCTTTTGTGCTTGCCTATCAATCTATGTCATTTATGAATTTCTGGTGAGTTTCACTGGGTATAGCTGTATTTTGAGAGTTGATGTACTTTTTAACTTAAGTGTATGACACCATTTCTTTAATAGTGTCAGACCATTGCCCAAGGCCAGAACATTTTTAAGGTCAGTTTCATCATCCAGTGTCGGATACCTCTGCCCATTTATGCTAACTGCAGATGTGATGAGTGTGCTTCCCATGTTTTTGTAAGGTGCCAGGCCTGGTGGTCAATGTCGGACTCAGAATGCAGTGTCTGGACGTCTGTGTTCATCTAGAAAATCAGTGCCCAGCAATGTGAGATGCCAATGGACTGCGTTGTTTCTCAGAGTTTACCAACAGTCATGTTGTATTTGCATGATTATTTGTGCATTGGGTCTTGAACCTTGAACTCAGTTCAAGAGCCTCTGTCTTCCTGTCCTCCTTCAGCATCGTGGAACCTTTGAAGCCACTGTTGACTTCAGTTAGGCTTCTCTTCCAGTTTTAGGTGGAGGAGCACAGAGTCAGGTTGATCATGGCTCCAATTCATGATACGCCCATCACAGGTCTATCATTGGTCTCATTTTATTTTCTCAGTCATTTTTAATAAGGTAGAAATAATACATTATTTTACATGACATTCTGCGAAATACCCATGAAGTCACTATTGACAAGAAAAGCAAAAACCTTGACAATGACTTGCATGTAAACTTATGGTTCCCTCATGAACCCCTATGTCCCTGCTCAGGGAAACCATCATCCTGAATGTTAGGTTCCGGGTGCCCTTGCTTTCCTTTGGTAAAGTTTTCATTTGCTGTATGTATTTATTAATACACATATATTACATATACACATACTGCATATATATATATACACACACACACACATATATATATATATAATTTTAGTTGTTTTTAACACGTAAAGGGGCAGATGCTGTATGTAATCTTCCAGTATTTCCTGGCTCTCCTACTGTTGCTTGGTGAGAGTCCTGTGGACGTCCTGTGCCGCCTGTGACAATTCTGTGCAGCTGCACAGACTGCCTGCATCTGCGCAGATGGCCACCTTTTCTGCTACATCTGTGTGTTTGCTAACATGCAGACGGCTTGAAATGCCCATTCTTGTTCCTGTCTCCCATTTTTACACAGTCACAGCCCATAGGACGAATGAATGTTCAACTCAGAAAAAATGCCAAGCTGTTTTCCCAAGTTATTGCCTTAAATTCCTTTTCTACCAGCAATGGCCAGAGGTCTGTTGATCTCCATCTTCTCCAATCTTTGATATTTTACAATTTATTAATTTTGGCCAACCAAATGGGTATAAAGTGGTATCATTGCAGTCTTAATTTTCATTCCTCTTGGCTTGGTAACATTTGGACTTAAAAAATCATGTGTTCTCTTTGGTGGCTGTCAGAGTGAATCTATATTGCCCCTCATCCCTCCTCAGTTGTTGAAGCTGTTTCATCCTAATGTAATAGTTTTACCGATTTAAACAAGATAGCCATGTAGAAGGATCTAGAATGACACCATCATAAATTAAACACACAATGAGTTTCTGGCTGAGAAAATCTTTCCTCTTCCTCCTCCTCCTCTTACTAACCTGTCACAATATCTAAGATGCACATTGATGCCCAGGGGTTCATTCCTTGTTGGTTAAAATTACAAAGGGCCAGGGTTGCTTTCCTCTGAGATTCCCTCCTCTGCCACCCATAAGCTCTTAGCAGATTGAAATCCACACTCAAAGTTCCTGGTTCTGCTTCGTCCATCTCCTGAGGAGTCACACGGTCAGAAAGGCGACTTAAGGATCCATGAAATACATTGGTTCTGACCAGGTTGCCCTACTTTGATCTGGATACTTGAATGGTCTGAAGTATCCTCTATTTTAGTTTTCTCTTAGCTTTTCCTCCTAAATTCCCTATTCCATGATTCTGCCCCTATGTGTATGGGTTTTACTCACTTCCCTCCCCATCCCTGCTACCAGCATATAGAATCATTCTATCCTGGCCTAAAATTTATCATTTTAACCCAGTTAGCTAAATCCTGTATGTCAGAACTGCCTGATAGAACTCCTAGCATTACCATATATATTATATGGATGCACTTTGCTATTAAAAAGTGTATGCCTATGCCGTTGCCTGTAAATCCTTCTGTTTCTGACCAGCACATTAAAATCTTGCTTGAGATCTGCTATAATTTTCGAGTGGTCCCAGCACTCTCCTGCCAATCACTAAAAGTTACTCCATGGGTTTGATGAATTTGACGAGGTTTTTTTAAAAAATCACAAATTTTAACCTTATCAGAGGCAGATCTCAATTTTCTCAGGAAATTACTTTTAAGTTTAAAATATTTTGTTTCGAAATAACTCTTTGTAAAAAATATCAGCTAGAGCTCTAAATTCCTTTATACAAAAGCAAACATATATTAATTTTATAGCTTAAAAGAATATCAAATCATGATTTTTCTGAATATATTCTTCATCTCAATCCTTGTTCCTCCCCAGTGTCCCTGAAAGTAATAAAACTTACATAGAAGATAATGTACTTGAGAAAATTTAAAACTTTGTATCCCAAAGAGACATTTTATAGTAGTAGTATAACCTGCTTAAACACTTGCTTAAAAAGTAAGCACACCTGTTACCCAATCAAGCGCCTATGTTTTCACTCCTGATTACTAACACAGGTGGAGGGAAGCAAGGCAAAGGTCATTTTAAGGACCAAATGAGCCCAAGTACCGTTTTCTCCACATCAGATGCACAGTATTTATGGAGGACCACAGGCTTGCCTTCCAGATAGGTGGTGCTAAAGTTCTCATGGGTTCTTGGTTTCAAAATTCCTGGATAATGCATGACTTGGGAGCAGCGTGACATTTATGTACAGTGGAAACTTTCTGGTCCTCTGAAGAAATAAGTAACACTGGTCTTTCTTGTGAAACTTGCTATTTGACACCGTTCCACATAATGTAACTGTCACAGGTCTATGCTCTTTTAGTTTCCCCTTTGCAAACTGTGTGCACATTCATGTTATTCTGTGTGTAAGGGTGATGCTCAGGATGTAGTGGTTGAGTGAATGAACGTGACAGACCTTTAGATTTTGTCAGTGAGGAGTGGAGGGATCACATCTGTCCCTTCCTTCCCGTCCCAGCTTTGTCCCATAATCAAAGCACTGTGGATCATTGAAGTAAAGTCTTTTTCTGATTTGTAACTTAAATGTCACCTGTGCCTCTGTTACTGCCCTGGCACACTGAGCGATTACCAACCATAAGAAATCCTTAGAGCAGCTGGAATGATCTACTTTGAAGAACTACAGGTGTTTTCCTGCCATGGGTCTTGGTTAACTACCAGCTTCCTTTGGTCACATCATCCTTCTAATTCCAAACCGCATTGATAGTAGTAGTTGAGATTTATTAAACGCTTATTATTTTTTCAGACACTTGCTCTGAAGTGGCAACAATTTACATATACTAATTCTATGATCCACTCAAGACTTGGGTGTTCTTTTCTTATTCCCCCCCCTTAAACATGAGGACACCAGGAATGTGCCCTGCGCTGAACAGCTAAGGTCTGGGGACAGCATGAATTGAACCAGGCGCCGTGTGCCCTGAAGTCTGCTCCACCCCAAACTGCTGTGGCTGCAGGAAATAGATACAAACATGCACACAGATGAGCACAACGCCCACCTTACTTTGGGAAAAATAACATAATAAAAGTCAGTTATATGATTTTTGTATAAAAGACCATTATGAGCAGTTACATTTTCACTTTTTTCCTTTGGACAAAATATAATAAAGAATGAACTTAAAAAGTGATGACAAGATTTACTTTCATTATTGGACACTGCTTTCTCTTAGTTTTCATTCATAGTTATTGCGAGTACTTATGCATTGTAATGGCAGCATGTTCATGAAGAAACAATGATGCTCATCTTTAAAACTTGCATTTTGGTTTGAGCAAGGCAAACACATGAATAAGCAGTATGTGTAGTATAATATTGGCCTTGTAAGTGTCTCTATAAGAAGATGTATGAAGTTGATAGTTAGCATTGTAATTTTGTAAAGGCCCGGTAAAATTTTCTTTTAGGTCGTGAACTCATCGATATAATCTAAGGTTACTGCACCTAATATATTACATATATATAAACAATGCTGATGACAAATTAATGCAAATGCTTTGGTATTTTGTGCTAAATTCTTTTGTACTTTGTACCTCACCGCATTCTAACCCTGTTAACTTTTTCAATTTCTCTATGCATCAGAGTTGTCATGATGAAGAAGATGATGATGGTGAAGAGGAAGTGAAGAGCTTTGAAGTAAGATGGATCTTTCTAGATTTGCCTTTTTCTCCTTGGAAGCATTGTTCCATAGCTCATAACTGACGTTTATGTTTCTTGCTTCATGGCTTAATCGCAGCTTGTTGTGTCAAGGAACTGCATGTCAGAAGCTGGGGGCCGGCCTGAGCCCTGGCCTGTGCTGCAGTTACCCCCAGGGAAGACAGGCTAATTAAACACTCCAGTGCGCCTGTGTGTCCAGAATGAGTGCCCCTGCGGAGCCCTGAGACAGGAAGGCTTCACATTGCCCCATGTCGGGAGAGGCTGTGTCCAAACTTTCCGATAGACACGTGAGGAAAATACTCACTGAAGAGCAACGTGACATCAAGTTTTTAATTGAAGTCTTCGTTTGATATTTTTTCTGAATTGAATCTTAAATGTTTGGCCTCCTGTGACTCCTGCCCAGTAGGTCACTCATTCCCTGCACACCTGCGGCCGGTGCGCATGGCCGGCCTGCTTGCATGAGCTGGGGGCACGGTCTTCCTAGGACCCCTTCTAGCTTATGGTTATGTTCTCAAACCTTTCAGCCTTAAATATCTGCATAATGTGAATTGCTCAATGTTATCTAGCCAGAAAGAAAGGAAACGTTATTTTCCCCCCTTTCTTAGACTAGACTTTTGCTTTTTAATGAGAAAAACTAGGTGTTGTTAACTACCACTCTCCTTATTTATTTTTTGTTTTTAGAGTTTCAAAAAAAGAAATTATGTGGAAGGGAACAGAGTAGATTCTTTTTACTTTTGCTATTGGTTAACTCATCTGGACTTCGAGCCAGAAGTCTGGAAGCACGTTAGGACCCAGCGGTCAGTCTCTAACTGCAGTGGGCCCGCAAAACAGGGTCGTTGAGGATCAGACGCACAGTGGCTCTTTCAGGGACAGTTTGACATGGGCGTCTCTGCTACACTGAAGTCACTGTGTGAGAAGTACGAAAACTAACGAATTTCAGAAAAACCAATGACTATTGCTGGCTGTGAAAAATGCCCTCAGGGTAACTTCCTGTGTGGCACTGTAATCATGTCTAATATATGTGTATTCTGTTCTCAATCCATCTTTATTGATAAGAAACTGAGGTAAATTAGAATGAGCTGTGAGCAGCAAATAATAGTTTCTGAAGTGTAACCACTTGTGGTCTTCAGAGCAATTGTTTATTGCTATTTTGCTTCTGTCCTCATCCTTCCTAAGGCCACAGGATCCCAGCGCAGCAAGGTAAACTGTACATGTGTGTGTATTTGTCCGGGTCTGAGTTTCGGTTTCTGTGACATTTACCTTTTTGTTAGACCCAACATCACAGGTTCTTTTGTAACATAAGGTCTTGCGATCTTTCTACAAGCTTCTAGCCCCAGTACAATTGGTCTTTCCAGTATCCTATCCTTAACACAGGCTTATTCTTCTTACAGTTTCAGTAGTTCATAATTTGGAATTGAGTAGCACACCGTGCTGGGTGGAGGAGTCCCGCCCTGCAGGCGGTGAGCTCTTCCCTGGGGACTTCGCAGGGCAGCCTCTGGCCTGTGCCTCTCGATGTTTTCTTATACCAGCCTCGTCACTTGAAAAACAGACGTGATAAGTGGCATTCCTGGTGACATTGGAAACAAGTCTGCTCTTCCACTGTGTTAGTGATATCTACAGCTAGTAATTGGAGATCATATTCCACAATTTCAACCTTGAGTTCAGGATTTCATTCTAGGGAAGATCTTGATGATTATTCCTACCTCTTAATGTTTTGGCTAGCTAAGCACTTGTAAAATTTGCTAAAAGTACATTTTGAGCTAGAATTACAAAAATAATTTGAGATTTAAAAAATGTGTCATTATAAGGGAAATTCCACGAAGAATAAAGTAAAGCTCAAGAAACACAGAAGACAGGGTGGGGACTAAAATGCCAAAGATTTACTGGCTCTTACCTTCTGCCGTCACGTGCTCTTTACTTGTGTGATCCTGTTAAACCTGCCCAATTGAACTTGATGGTTTCATCCCCTGCTTCATCTACAATACTTTTCCCGCAGCTACTCATTTAACAATTGATTGCATATTTAGTTCATTATTATATATAACCTTTTTAGAATTGAGTCTACTTCAATATTAAAATTATTTTAAAAAGTCAGTTAAATTCTATAAAGAGGTCAAAATTATTTGAAAGGAAAGAAATATTTTGGCAATTACCAGAAATGTTAATTACTGCAGTTGAATGCTTTATCTTGGAATGTTTTATTAACCAAAGCAAATAATAATAAATAATATACTAATAATAACGATTCAAGTCAAATAACTTAATGCTTCTGGGCATGTTGGGTTTTGCTCACCAAGATCATCTGAGAGCTTTGGTATATTTTTAAACTATGATTTTGCAAAACATACAGAAACGTCCTTCAGATGGTTACTTCTACTGCTCTGCTCTAAGATCTGAGTGAATGCAATTAAGTGATAGTGCAGGGAAAGCATTTCTGTGAAACATTAAGATAGATTTGTTACTTACTGAAGAGCTGAAGTTAATGACAGTGGAGCTTGTGTGAACCAGAGGGACAGGGAATGGACTTGCCCTTGAGAACATGTTGCTCGAATGTTAGGCCAGTTCCACATCTTTGGCAGATGCCCGATCTCTAATCAGTGAGGAGTTTTTGATGAGTCCCTAGGGGCCTATTACTCTGTACTATTGATTAAAGACATTTCTTGTGTCTTAAATACTAAACATGTCTGCGGCAGAGTTGACATTCAGTGATGACATCTTAGGAGGCTAAATTATGTGCTCTCCCCAGTGGGCCTCAAGCATGAACTAAAATGACACCATTCCTGCCAAGGAACCCAGCTCACATTCCTGCGTGTGCACTGTTAAGGGTGGAAGAACCGAGGCAGGTCCAGACTTCTTACGGACCGACACTCTGTAGCTCTCTTCCCAGTGATAGTAGCACTTGCATCTGGCCCCGCCAATGATCTGTCTAATTCTGAATAAGATTTTTTTTTTTTGTAAATTCTGCAGGAATGAACTGGCTGTAAGCCAGTTCTAACAGCTACATAAATCAATCCTGGAATGGGTTTATAGTGTTCCTTTCATGGGACACAGCAATCTGAATTAGAAGGCTTCTCGAGTCTTAGAAAAGGATAGCCTTGAATATAAACAAATTAAAGATGTAGGTATGTACATAAAATACTGAAAAATTATTTATTTTCTCAAGAGAATTTACAGTTTTTTAGTCTCTACTGCAGAAGTTCTGTGGGGACAGGGGGCAGGCATTTTGGTGGCCAGTGTTCTCGAATGCGCGTGCCTGTTGCTGCAGTCTGACCACCATGTGTTGATTTTGTATAGTGGAATTGCCACTCTCAAGTCAAGCCCCCATGTCACAGCCAGGTTCCCTCAGAAACAGAGTGGGGAGCCTGTGTGCTAGCACTTTGCTGGGGCAGGGGCAGCACCATCCCGGGGAAGTGTGAGCGAGAGGAAGAGACCCGCACAGGGAGGGCAACAGAGAGCAGACACAAGCTCGCACACCTGAGCTAACCGGAGGCCACTCAGCGGTCCGCAGTGGCTCAGGTGTGTCGGTTCCCAGGGAGGCCACGTGCCCCTGGATCAGTGCCTTCTGGGAACAGAGGCTGAGCACTTTGTCTGCTGGTCTGACCCACCTCTTGTCTGTCACAGGTCACAGGGAGTTAATGTCTTCACACTTCCTGCTGATAGTAACCAGCCTTTCCATGCAACCCCTGGGGAAGCCCTAGGTTGGGTCCAGCCTGCAGAGTGTCCGGGAACTGTCATCCCTCCATGTGCCTCAGCACAGGGGCTTCCTAGCAAGTGGCAGTGTGGTAGCAACCAACTTCCATAGCCACGGTGATGCTTTGAATCATTTCCAGGGCTGTCTGGCTCAGAAGCAAGGCACAGCCTAGGCTTGGTGACGGGGGGAGGGCTGGAGGACAGGTCCTGGTAGAAGGTAAGTTCCCAGAAAGCACGCCCTCTGTAATATAATGATAATTTGTGCATGTGAGTGTTGTGGACCTAAATACAAACTCTGTAGCAGACATACATTTAAACATGCAATTGTGCATTTTTGATATACACAATAATTTGACTTAATGTGCTTTTGTTTTTAAAATAATCCTAATGGAAGCTCATGCTTGACCATAGTATGTACGGTGAATGGGATGCAGGGTCATCTGAGGACAGGCAGATGGACCACCTGTTGTTGAAGCCCAACTCCACCACCTATGAGATCTTAAGCCTCAATTTTCTTATCTGTAAAATGGGGCTAATTATACTTCAGAGGATTGTAATAAGGGTTAAATTACTTAATGCACATGAGGCACTCAAAACATGGCCTAGCACAACTAGCTCTACACACACCTGCCATTGTTGTTGTATTCAATCAATTTCACTTTCATACAAGGACTGAAGTTGCAGAGAAACATCCGCAGGGTGGTGAGCACAGCACCCCGCAGGCAGGAGGCTGCGTTCTCCTCTGAGGGCGACTCGGTGACCTTCAGCAGCAGGTCACACTGAAGTACCCTGTACCTCACCTTTTCTACTTTGAATGAAAAGCTTTGAATTAGATATTAACAGAGGTCATAACTGCCTTTAAAATGTTCTGATTTGCTGTTAAAAAGTAAGTTCTTTTCATTTTCAGAGAAATTTCATAATTTTTCTAAATGCATAAATACCGCTAGAAGCAAATGCATTTCCATTAGTTTTCTTCTGTTCTTTGGTGGAGCAGCAAGAAAGAAAAATAAATCCTATGTTTTTGTAGAATAGGAATGTCACAATAAAAATGTTTGATGGAAAATGAGGTCTATCATTTGTACATATATATGAATCTCTACCTTTTCCTAATTTGGGATTTGTAATTATCACACAATTCTACATCATACAGTCAGATGAAGGGGCACAATCGTCAAGGAACGGAGGGTTTAGCGCCATGAAGCGGAGCCGTGCGGGAATGAGCCTGACCCAGAAACCATGCTGTTGTCTGCCAGGTCATGGCGGCCGCCCCACTCGCTCCCTCCAGGATT